GTAGTAAGAGTGCAAGTTGGACAGCCGCGTTGGCCTCTTTGACGTCCATCCGACACGCACGAGCTGACGCCATAGATGGCCGAAGTCCACATCTCGCACGTCGATTGTTGATAGCGCCTCCTCTTGAGCTTTTGTCCGCGTGCTTGATCTGACTGGCATCTTCACTCCAGCCCGCAAATTCTGAACTGGTGGAGCATATCCACCACCCACCAAATGTACGGTTTCCTGATAGTGGGACAGTGTATCCAACCACAGCCTTTTTATTCCCTGTCGCGGGCTACCTTTCCAAGCTTATATTTTGTTTGTCGCGAAACAGACTTGATTAAAGTATTGAATCGCCGCGTCTGAGCCATTTCCTGTTTATCTTGAGAATTAAGTCGTAAGTTACGACTTAGTGTTTTCGCTGCGTCGTAAGTTACGACGTTGGTAACCAAGGGGTTAAACATGCTACTTTTGCTCAACGTTCAGCTTACATTCGAGGTTGGCTGATTGTTGAGCGAGATAACATCGAGCGAGTTTCGCAGTACCGTGGAATTAATCATTTGAGGGCTGTCCATACCAAAGGTATTTCCCAGTATAATCTATTGTTAAGGTGTAACCATTGAAATAACCCGACTGCACGTTTATTGGTTGAAAGTGTAACCCTCGATTTACGTTTGAGCACACCAACCAAGAGATCGATCCCACGCGATGAGGCTGACGTCGGACGTGATTCTGCGCGCGCAGGTGTCCATCAACCCGCTGCGTGAGCGCGAGCTGAACCTACGAGGTACTTCCTCTCGTGCTTAGTCGCTTATGTGCATCGATTACTGACGTGATCTGCAGGTTATAAGGCGCCTTCGATCGAAAACTTGGGCGTCACACAGGACGGATTTGACTGCATCGACTTCTCGGACAATGAGATTAAGAAGCTTGAGAACTTCCCGCGCCTGCGCCGACTACGCATGCTACTGCTGCACAACAATCACGTGTCCAAGATCCAGGAAAACCTGGCGGAGGCTATCCCCAACATGGAGTTCCTCATGCTTACGGGTAACCGCATCGCTCAACTCTCGGAAGTGGACCACCTCGCCTGCTTTGCCAAGCTTGACACGCTCTCGCTAAGCGGAAACCCCGTGACCAAGCGCAAGTACTACCGTGAATACGTTATCTACAAACTGCCACAACTGCACGTCCTCGACTTTAAGCGTATCCGCCCTCGCGTAAGTTTGCCCGCTAAACTTGCGTTTGCAAGGAAGGAGACGAAAGATCTAATTGTTGCCCTCGGTGTGCTGTGACTGATTCAGGATCGTGAGGCTGCCAACGCGTTTTTCAACTCGGTTGTCGGACAAAGAGCCATGAAAGAGGCCCACGGTGAAAGCGTGGCTGAATCTACACAGGCCATGAAGAAGGTTTCGATCGCTCAGCAACAGACAGTTCCTGCAGTCAGCGCAGTACCTCCACCACCGCCACCGCGTGCTCCAGTTTCGCCAAAGAAGGAGGCCCCAATCAAGGCTAAATCGCCAAAGAAGGTGGCTCCAGTCAAGACGGAACCACCAAAGAACACTGCTCTGGCAGAGCCGATGGAGGAAACGCCAGAACCGAAACACGAAGCACCTTCAGCTGACGTGGAAATGGAGGATGCAAGCGAGGATCAGGCGGCAGTATCATACACGCCGCCGAAGCCGATTGAGCAGATGACTGTGACTATCTTGCGTGAGGAATTGAAGAAACTAGGCTTGTCCATCAAGGGCTTGAAGGCGGAGTTAGTGAAGCGCTTGAAGGAAGCTGCTGGAGAAGCATAGTCCCTCAGTATACTTTACCACCGAGATAGAAAAATGAGCCGAAGATGCAGGGTACGGATGATGCACGCATCAATGCAAATTACCAACTCGGCCTTGATCCTTCAGTGAATATTTTGAACAACACAGCTCTGCAAAATGTGCGTAATGAGTACAGTATCCGACACGAATGATGCACTCTATCTGCTTTGAATGAACGTCAACCTGTCGACATCATTCCCGTAAAACAAACTCAGCAGCACAGCACTTCAATCCCTCTAATACGGCGCAATGCTTCGACTTAAACTCTCCGCACGATCGCGGCGAGTCTGTGCGAGCTTTTTGAACTCCCCCTTCTCGTACTTGTACATGAGTGGAACGCCTAGATAGACATAAACCGTAGTATTAGATACCACGGAGCAAGGAAATTTGGAAATGAGACCGCCTACCGGTCGGAGCAAGCAGCAGGCACTTCTCAGGTGCTGTCTTCTCCAACTTCATCTGCTCGCTGAACTCGTTTGCATCCATGCCATCCAGGTACTTAATGAGCGTCCGGATAACAAAACCGTGCGAGGACACTAACACGTTGCGTCCCGCAGCAAGATGAGGTAGGATAAACGAGTTGAAAAATGGGATGGTCCGTTTGTGAATGTCTTCGCAGCTTTCACCATTTTCGCCTGGGAATCGCGTGTAATAATCGTTTCGGATCTTCTTCACGTGTTCTCTGTTAAACATGACGGTATGCTTTGTGCTTGGCACACCCTAATATTTCATCCACAACATATATAATTGCGTTAAATAACTCACTTTCAATCGAAGCGAGTAGCAACATGATCAAACCTGCAGATCACCGAAATTGCGCTCATTTAGTGTCGGAGACACATACACTGGGATGATCTGTATCATCGGACGCAAATTAGTCCTCTCGACACTGAACCAACGACACCAAGGTTGTCACGTACGAAGTCGTAGGGGTTCTTGTCATTGACTCCCTCAAAGGATGGGTTTTCCAGTGGTGAGCGATGTTCCACAACTGGGGTTTTCTTACTGGAGTGCACACTCAATGCCAGTGACATGGTCGTGCGTGCACGGTCCATCTGCGAGCAGAACACCACGTCGATCGGTACGTACTCCAACCTCTTTCCCGCCTCGTAAGCCTCCTGCATGCCTACCTCACTGTACAATCAACACCCCACTTCAGTTAAGTCATAAGTGAAGACTCACCCACACTTAATCGGATCGCCATCACCTCAAGGGAATGTCGATGGATCCGGCATAGCGCCACAAGTCCGAGGGGCGATCAGGCTTGCGGTTCCATACGCTCTGACCGTGGCGCAACAGGATGAGCGTCCCGAAGCTGGTGCGCGGCTTGTCACCTTGACTGTCTGCAGCCCCTCCTGGTGCCAGCTTGGCCCAGCTCGAGTCGCACTCGCCGTTGCGCGTATCCCAGTGCTCCACGTGCGCGTGCGGAAGTTGGTAACGTCGTTCAGAGGGACGCACCGAGTTGCAGCACTCGCCATCTCCGCAGCCGCATGCCTTGAGCTCTTGTTGCCGTTTTCTCTCCGTCATAACTCCTGCTGCAGCGGCCACGACAGCCACCAGAAGAGAAGTCAGACCCACCACCACCTTCATGCTTGCGTATCGTTGCTCTACACTGCCGCACCTGGAATCAGATGCTAACGTTTTCACGACGTTTGACATCAATTTCATAAATTTAGGTTCGTCGAGGACACAAATGTTGTCAACACGCAAGGGCTACGAAGATCAGCCGGATATCCGCCGAATAGCTCTAAACTTGTTGAAGCGGACGACATACATTCGGCACTACAAGGGGCTGAAGGTTCGTCAATCTCGTTGGTTGCACCGCTTGTGATCAGGAAGTCGAGCTAACTCAACTCCAGCTAGTTGTTGGGCTACGGATAGAATGTCTTGCTACAAGAAGCATGGACGATTCTTGGTTGAGCTGCACGTTTGGTGGTCGAGTCGCACAAGAATTGATCCAGCTAGTAGACCTCAACGCCGTCGAAACCTGAGAATGGGTATTCGTCGTCGCGGTCTTGTGCAGTCTTACACGGTAACGGGGACCTCGTCCGTCTCCAGAAGGTCTTCGAAGCAAAAGCATGGCTCGTTACTGCCTCCATGCTGATGGCGCTGGCCGAAACGAGGAATCCTCCTTTGGCACATGGCCAGTCTGCCAAAGCGGCAACCTTCTCATTGTTGACGTGAACTACGTGCTGAAAGACTTCCATGCCTCGACCTCATGCGTGTAAAGATCGAGAGCGCCGTAGCACATATCTGTTGACTTGCTTGGAGATGTAGGTAGCTTCCGTGATGATCAGGCCGCGCATTAAGAGTATACCGATAGAAACATGGTGGTCAGATAGGAGAATAGTGAAGGAAGCTCCACGCTGCTGGTTGGACGTAAGATTTCCGATAACTGAATCGTCAATGCAACCGGGTAGCCTTGCTAGGAATCTGGAGCGGAATCAACACCATTGACAGGTTTTTTTTTTCACTGATTCAATTTAGCGAAGGTAAGTATTTCACCAAAGACGGTCACATATTGAAAAATTGTCTCGTGTTAATCTGGTCCATCATGCGCATAGACAACATGAAAGTGACGTGTGGCTGGCCACCTTGATATGCTGCGAAGGCTTTAGGCAGCGAGGCACGGTACAAAAAGGGAGGATTGGTTCTGATGGTCTACAACTCTCCGAGCAGCGCAGTCACATCCTCCACCGTGAGGTCGCGGTCGTCCTTCTTCAGGATAGCGCGAACCGCGTCTGAGGCACCAGTGTTCGGCACTGATAGCGTCTTGTCCACGAAGTTTGGCAGTCGGTCTTGGTTGGCGTCAACCCACCGCAGATATGTGAGCGATTGCTCTGGCGTCAAAATGGAGTGCAGCATTTCTGTCTGTCGCTGGACCGCCTCCGAGCGCTGCTCGAGGCTCCTTTTGAGTTTGCTTAAATATGTCTGTTGATAATTAACAATAGGTCAGTACTCAGACTTTCGAGGAATGAGCAACCCTACTCAGCAACATACCACAGCCATCGCCACCCGTCGGCGTTCCGACTTGCTGCTCTTCGAGTCACCCGATCTGCATAGGGCACACATCCGTTAAAACAAGATGCAATTGGAAATGATATCGCTATGATAAGGTAACATACTTGTACAGCGACTTCAGTTTTTCGTCCTGCTCATAGGTGAGGGCAAGGTCGCTTGTCAGAGTCGACCACAGAGTGTCCTTCTTCACCACATTGGGGTTTTTCTTCTTCTCTGGTACGTCTCCTGCGTTCTTTGATCCCATTCCATTAGCTTCGTCGAAAAACGACTCGTCCTGGATACTAAGCCACAGTAAGAATCGGCAGTACGGAGGCAGCAGCAAGTTGTCGAGTTGACGGAAATTATAGTCCTTCACTGCAAGCCGTTCCTATGACAATCAATACATCAAGATAAGCACCATACAAATGGTTTGCCAAGCACAACCACCCACGCACCACACTGTTCGGCCCGAATCTCTCCTGAATCAGCATAATACCCTGACGAATCTTTTCCTGCACCGACTAAAAACACGAAACGACAACGTCAATACCAGTCGCAACGGTTAGATCCGAAGTTTAGAGCACTGTTACCTCCTCGGAGCCGCCGTTCTTCCTGTCCTCCGCTAGGCTCTTCAAAATGTCAGAGCGTACTTGGTTCAGCGCCTCATCCGCGCGCTCCAAATGCGTCGCTCGCGTCGTATCGATGCTCTCCGTCAATTGAGACACCTGCATCGCATTAAAGCACTCGTCAGTTTAATAAACTCATCTCGTAGCGCCAAAACTACACGTGCCTTCTCCTCTAGCAGCTCCAAGTACTGTTTTTTGCGGCGTCGACTCTGGCGTGCAGACTCGCGATTCCTGGCCAGTCGTCGCTGTCGCTTCTCGTCTGAGTCCAGATTTCCCGTGTTGGACGACGAGTCGTCGTCATTGGCAGCGGGCCGCATCATGGAGCTCTCTTTGAAGCCTCCTTGCGGTTGCTGGAAGGTGGGTGCGGCCGGAGTACTGGTGGTGGGTGGTCCGGCAGGTGTCAGCTCACTGCCGAAGGTCCGCTCGGGTGCTAACGGGACGGTTTGGCCCAGCGTGAACTGCTCGGCAGTTGAGGCGACGGTGTTCGTCGCTCCCGGAAGCGTCTGTGGCATCTGCTCAGCCGCCACATCGGCTGATAAGAAGTAGCTTAGCAGGTCGTCGTCTTCCGCCGTGAGGTCCATGGCCATGGCTGCGCGGTTGTGCCGAGGTCAAGGAGATTGAATTGTCCAATGACAGCTCCTACGCGCTCGACGTCAACGTCGGGATGTCAAATCGTCTTGGATTGAGTATGTCGCTTTTGGCCATTTGTGATGGCAGCGAGTTTTAACACTCTTACATAATACAAGTAAAATTTTGTATCGACACAGAAATAGTCAAGCAAATTGAGAATATTTGCACGTCATGTGCTATAGCAGTGATAAGCAGAATCAGAAAACGACATGATTCTCAACGGGCATTATTTAATACTCTCTATTGCAGTTAAAGTTTCTATTTTAGTTTCTTCTGAGTGTTGGTCTATTTCTTCCGGCGACGCTCACCCTCATTCCAGCAAAGCTCAACACCCCAAGACAAGCAGTTCCTTCCACCCATGGCAGAGCACGTAATTAAGTTATCAACCGAAGCGCCCGATGTGAGCGACTCCGAAGTAAGTTCCCTCTGCGGCAGTGAGCTGGAGCTGGAGATGGCCTGGGGTGAAGGTCCCATCGCACCGCTGCGCACCGAGGCTGCTGCTGACGACGGCGCCACCAAGAAGAACCTCATCGCGGGTGTGGAGCGCTCCGGCAGCAACGGAAACGGCTCCAGCCGCGCGCGCACGCCGCAGAAGCGTGGCAGTGAGTCGCCACTAGCACGTAGTAAGCGGCTAATCAACATCCACCCCATCCGTTCGGCGGGGTACCTGTCTAAGCCCAACGAGCTGCCGTTGGGCGTACGCAAGCAGCAGCGCTGGTTCAACGGTGCGAAGAGGAGGCTTAGGAAATAACTTTCTAGGCACGTAGACTCACGTTGTATTTATGCAGATCACCACTTTGGTAACCGAGCAGCATCTACGCGGTTGGAAGACTTGATGGAGCACATGGACATCAACGTCGAGTGGAGGTGCGTTCAGACGAGATGTTTACCGCTTGATGTGCCTAGATAATTGACTGAAATATGTGATTGATATCAGATCGAATTTCCAAAAGCTGGCTGAGCCTCAGAATGAAGACCTGCAGACCGAGTTCCGCAAGGGAGGAGGTGCACATGAGAACAATCGGTCCCATGCTCCACGCAATCGCCGCAAAGATGGATGGAATGGTGAGTGAGATGTTTGCTTTTACACATGTAGTGGTGCTCACGGTGTTGGGACAACTGTGCAGATGCTGAGCAAATGTTCACTCGGGTTGATCGCCGTGCACGGACATTGATGCTGCGGTCTTTCAGCTCCTTCGCGCCGTTTATTGAAGCAGTGGAATATGTTGTCTTGCACTTCATCCAGGTACCGTAAAGTGAACGAGTAAGGTCGAGGCCAAATACTTAACCACGGTTTGCTGCAGTGGCGAGAAGTTCCTTCAGAGCTGGAAATCGCAACACCGCTGTTCCGCATGTTAAAACACCCGATTGAGCTGATGAAGGCAAACGAGAAGGACGTGCGGTTGATACTGCCACTGCTGGACTCAGCCTTCCATCGACTGATCATTCACAGCGTCTGTCAGTTTTATGGCGTGCGATCACGAAGTGCGTTGTCTTTTTTTTCCTGTGTTCTGGCTGATGATCAGCATCTAATACCGTGTGACTTGCTCAGCCGAAGCGAACCGCCGCTTGAACACGAAAATCATGGTCCTGAAGAGCCCCAAGAAGAAAATTTTGGCCGATGACGTGGCCCAGATTTCGCTGTGCGAGTTCATTCGCGAGACGCGCATTGCCCGACGCCAAGTCGTCGCTGTGTCACCCGAGAAGGTCGTCGGCAACAGTCAGGCGTTGGAGCTGTCCAAAACCAGCGAGTCTAGCGAGGGCTTTCTGCTGGTAGAGGCTCCGCAGGTCTAACTACCTTCGTCGTTGACGGTGGCTGTTGCTGTGGGATATGTCATGCAGTGGAAATGAAGGCAGCTCGTGCGGCTATGGGTGGTTACGTTGGAGTTGAGCTCGTCCAACACGTAATCAGGATTCCATCTGGCTTCAACTCTTTTGTGTCGCATGTGCATGCACCTGTAAAACGCAGCGTTTAACTTACGCTGTTGCACCAAGTAGAGCTCGCTGCACTACTCTTGAGGTCCGCCATCCTTACAGCTTAGGCCGTAGCTCCTTATGTCTTGACTAGAATCCGCCTGGAGTGAATCGCAATGCTCACTCAGAGCCGTCGCTTCTTAGTCCGCGCTTATATTTGCTCACAAACGTAACCGACAGAAGTTCGCTCAGTTGAAGGTGCTCGTCGCACAAGTCTACGCACAATCGTACTTAGTGCGAACCTTGATTTTTCACGGGGGGAGCTTGTTGAGCTTTTCAAGGAAGCGGCAGTAAGCCCACGCGGGAGATCGAGCAGAGTAGAGCAGACGTCCGCCCGCCCGCCGCGCCTTGACGACTGCGCGCGAATACACTACCTACCACACATGGAGCAGAGTGCACCACCAGAGGCCGAGGTGCAGGTCACTCCGCTGCCTGATCCCGTAAAACCCGAGGACATTGCGATCGACGCGGACGATGCTGCGACTGCTTCAGCTGCTGAGCCGACAGAAGCTGAGAACACCATTTCGAATGCAGTGGAGGAGACGGAGACCCACTCTGCCGATGCGGCAGACGATGATGAGTCAGGCGCTGAAACCACCGCGCAAAAAGACGCAGTGGAAGAGCAGAACGACACGACTGAAGACGATTCCAATGTCGTTGAGCATCCATCGACCCCAGAAGAAGTGGAAGCCACTGGAGCTATCACTGCAGCAAGTGAGGATAAATCTTCATCTGCCGCTGAGGCGGATGGATCAAGTGACGTGATCGCCACAGCTAACGAGAAGCCGGAAGATCTGCCGTCTACAGACGCTCAGGGGGATGCAGTCGAAGATGCATCTACACCAGATGCCGTTAGTGATAGTGAAGGTGCTGAGGAAACTGCAACAGCACAGGAAAATGAGACTACGGTGGAGGACGCTGCAGTGAAGGATCCGGCTACGACTGATGATACAGAAGACAAGCTGGAAGCTCCGTTAACCATTGTGACACCAGCAACAGTTGCAGGTAGCGGCAAAGAGGAAGACCTGACACATACAGAGACCAGTAAATCGGAGGTGCCTGCATTATCGATAGATACTGACGCTCCCGCCAATCCTGCTACTGAGGACCAGACGCCGGCTAATGGTGTTGCGGTAAACAGCTTGATTGCCGATGGTGCAGTGGCAACACCCGAAGGAACCTTGCAATATCCCCAGGAACTGGAATTGGCCTCACCTGCTGCGATGCCCGATCTTCTTGTTGCTGCTACTGACACTGAAACTGAGAACAGTAACGACCCGGTACCACTGGAAGCTGATGCGAAAGAATCCGAGCAGGACCAGGTAGAAAACGATGAAAAGGCCGAGGATGGTGAACACGCGACTATCACTGCAGTGCCAGAGGAGCCTGCTAAGTCCACGCCTGTTGATGCAAACCTGGAAGCGGTTCTCGAGAAGATCCGTAACAAACTCACGTGTGAATCAGTTGAAGTGTTGGAGTCTGGTGAGATTCTGGCCCTACCCAAGGGCTGGTCAACTCGAAAGAGTAAAACTAATGACGGCAAGACGTACTATGTATCGCCTTACGGCCACACGCAATGGCTGCGTCCTCCAATGAAGACCGGGGTCATTTACAAATGGGTACATGAGATCGAGGTGACATTTGGACCGGGTCGACTGGGACTCAACCTGAAGCAAATCGCTGGTATTCCTGGTACAGTATTTACTGACCTACAAGTTCACATCGCTGAGATCTACAAGCTTCCGAATGGAATGGCAAGTCCTGCAGAGATTTATAACTGGAGTGTCAAGCCGGAAAAGCGTCTTGAAGTGAATATGCGAGTGACGATGATGAATGGCATCTCACTGACGGGTTACACGTACTCTGAAGTACTGGAACTGCTCGCTAGGATGGTGCGTCCTGTCCGTATCAAGTTCGCAGATATTACTAAAGGTATTGTGGGTCGAGTGGAGGAGGAGATTCCACACGAGGAAACTGAAGAAGTAAAAGAGGCCCGAGCTGCTCGAGTGATGCAAAACTCTCTGCGTTCGGAGTATTTCCAGATCTTGGTGTCGTGCGAACTTCATAAACAAGTGTGGGCGGCGACTAAGCGCCGTATGCGCTTGAAGATGATTGAAATGGAAAAGAAAACCGAAGTGATGGAGTCGCAAGTCGAAGCAGGGCTGCAACACCAGGAATCTCTTGAGAAGGAGCGTGAGAACCTGATCCAGGAAGCAGCTACACTGAAAGAAATGATCGAGCAATTGGACAAGCAAACAGCCGGAGAAATTGAATCACCCGAGGTGCTACGGACAGCTGAGCTGACGCAGCGAACTGCGGAGCTTGAGAAGGAGGTGACTGAAATCATCGCTGAAAATGACGAGCTGCAGGCTTCACGCATCCAAATCGAGGAGACGCTGGATGATTTGCAACTGGAGTTGGACGCATATGGAGACCTTGACGTGGAGCTGAATGGCCAGCAAGAGATTAAGTTTTTTTCTCCTGCATTTTTGGGCTCTATGGTGCATAGAGGGTCGATCGATACTCGCGCTGAAGATGCACGTGAGCGGCTTCTCGAGAAGATTAAGGCGCAACACAGTCATCTTGAAGAAGAGATCAAACTGGAAGAAGAACGAACGAAATTTGTGGAATCAGAAATCAACCAGTTTAAGAAGCAGATGGACGTGGCAGCAGAGGCAGTTAAGCGTGAAGATGCCTTTATTAGCGGCGAGCGTCCGCCTCAAATGATCTTCTTGGAGAATAAGATCGCCTTGTTGAGAAAGAATTTGCGGGAGACGGTGGCTGGAATAGCGAACGCAGGCAAGAGTGGTGACCAGCAGCAGGCCGACAATCTATCTCTCCGACGAGCAGACCTGAAGGATGATCTGAAGTCGGCACTTGACGAAATGCGACGAATGGAGAACGAACTGAACGTGTTCTTCGATGTTGATGAAGGCAAAGAAGTGAAGCTGCTGCGCTCGGATTCGATCGTCGACACAGTAGATATTGACCAGGCCCCACACGAACGCGCATCGGAATCGTCTCGACTGCAAAACAAGTTGACAAAACTTCAGATGCAGTTGCACGATACCGTTGTTCAGCTCGCGAAGGCAGCAGGTGAGAAGGACGAGACGCGTAAGAGCGAGTTAGGCCAGCGGCGATTGCAGCTGAAGGACGAGATGAAGGTTGTGCAAGATCAGTTCCAGCTACTAACAAACGGAACTCTTAATGTGGCGGTCAAGAACAAGGAGTCCTCGTACCTGAGACCCTCAGTTGTTGGCCCACCGACACTGCAGGATGTTCCTCGGCGATCTACCGGTGGTTCTCGAGCATCAATTGGTGGCATCCGCGCCTCAATTAGTGGCAGCAGAGCGTCCATGGCTGCTGGTCGAGCTTCAAACAATAGCAGACCGTCAGAGAGCGTGCAGAGAGGCTCGGAACGCTATGATCCCAACGTCAGTCGCCGAAGCAGCAGCAGTGCCTCACTCACGCAGTCTTATGACTCAAACTCGAACCAGATGCCTCGAGATGGTACACTGCCGGTAATGAGCGGTACCTTACGAAAACACCCAACACACTCCAACGAGAAGGGGGCATTCGGCAACATGTCACTACGTGGCGTTCGTGAACGATGGTGCAACATCGAGCCTGATGGATATCTTCGATACTACAAGCGGGAGGGCGATCGTGAACCTCGTGGTGCGATCCCTTTGAAGCACAAGTCTCTAGAGATTCTGCATGGGAAGGGGGTGGGTAAACCGAACGAGTTTGTGATCTGTTCACCCACGCACCAGACGCGGATGGTTGCCAAGACACGTGACGATATGCTCAAGTGGGTGATGATGCTGGAACTTGCACACGCGTATTTCATGCAGCAAGGTCGTGGATCTACCGATGGTGGAAACGCACCAGGGAGCGTCTCCTCCTCTGTCGGTAGCAATGCTGACCATCTCGCCAACGCAACGTCGCCCGGGTCAGCAGACGCAGAGCTCGTGTATCGAAACCAACGCGCTACGCTCGGCTTCTAATCGACTTGTATCAGCAACCAGCCAGCGCAGAACCGCTTACATCACATTTGTTACTCGAGGGTTTTGATAACATAGTTTCCCTGAACACTAGGGCACTGTAGACATATTTATTGGCAGTGGTGAACATCTATCCCAAAACAGAGCAACAACAAAATATTTTTCGTTTTTTTTGCCATTTTTATGTTAGAAACTCTGTAATATTATATTACTAAAAAAATAAATATTTGAAAGTTTATATATTAAATTTCAGAGTCCTATGACTAAAAATCTGTGAGTGGCCACAGAGGAAATTGGAGCATGTTTCGCGCCCGTAAGTTCGTCGAGGTGCCGTCCAAGCGCGTGGGCACTGGGCTGCTGTCGACCGACGCCAGCAAGCGCCAGCGTCTTGAGCACTGGGACGCACTGTATGCGCCGCGCTCGGGCAGCGAGGCCGATGCGGAGGAGAGCGCATCGTTGCTGGTGGATTCGCGAAGCTGCACCATCGTAGAAGGCGCGAGTCTGCCGCCCCAAGTACTGGAGGAAGTGCGCAAGGAATGGCCTCATCTGCCTATTCAGCAGCGTCACCAGGTCCGCTGCTGCCGAGCGTCTGTACCCTCGGCGCGGCACCGCAGTGGACGTCAATGGATTCCGTACTTTGTCTTCCCACTACGTACCAAGGTGCTACTATGGCAGCAGGACCGAGGCAAAGTCATCGCTCTGCAACTGCCAGACGAGCTGGAGCCGGACGAAGAGCTGTATCCTTTCCTATTCGCTCTCTACAGCCAGAGTCTCAGTCTCATGATAGTGGGGAAGAGCGGTATTGTGCTCTTCTGGGAGGATATTGAACTCCCATATGAGAGTGTGCCACTCAGTGTGCAGATCCCTCTTGGGAGTAATGAGCAAGTGACTACACACCCTAATGCGGCCATGTTGGCCACTCAAGAAGGAGCACAAGACGACGAGATCCACGACGACGCTAACGGACTGATGTGCTGGAGTAATCAAGGCAATGTATGGGAAGTCGCAGTGGAGGATCGACGGATCCGCGTCCGAGCCTTTGAGAAGCAGAGTGCAGGATTCCTATCCGGCATCACCAAGTCTGTATCACAGTTTTTCTTCTCGTCTACTGCCTCAAGATCTGGAGCTGATGGAGGAGAACTGGATGTGAATCAGCCCATTAAGTACTTAAGAGTGCTGTCTTCGTCCATGGGAGATGCAGTGTCCATGAGTAGCAGTGGAGGGGATGTGGACGAGACGGCAGATATGCTGGTACTGTTCCGAGACGGCATGCTGGAGCGACGGACGTTCAGTACTGGAGATGTGATGGATTGCTCGTGTGTTTCTCAGTGGCATTTCGACGCTTGTCGCGTGGCTATTAGTTACTTCAGTGACAACTTTCCAGAAGCCCATTTGGCTAAGGTGTACATCGTTTCGATGCCTTACGTGCAGGAGACGTGCTTCTCATTGCTAGTGGCGTTTGTGTGCTCTTCGTCGCGTGCTGGTACAAACGCTACGGTTAAGTATGCGTTGTTCCAGTTCTCATTGGGGGCTGTGGATGAAGACACCCCACCTGAGTTGGAGTGGGCGTGTGTGCTGGACTTTGAGCCGGCGTTTAATGAGCAGACTGCCGCGCGGTTCTTCGAGGTGGAGAGTTTTTCCATTACCCGCGGTGCCCTGTATCTCGTTTGGACGCAGATGCAGCCGATTCAGTTTTCTACGGTTCTGTTACCTCAAGCTGGACAGACCAGTGTGCGTTCAGCGGTGTTCCCGCTTCAAGGTGCTCAAGGTCGACTGGCCCTAGCGTTTGGAGCTCGCGTAGACCAGAGTTCGTTCGATAACAACGCGGTGAAGGGATCTGTGTCATTTCTGTTGATGGAAGAAGATGTCAAGTCGCTTAGTGGGTCTGTGTGTGTAGCTACAGCGTCAGACATGCAGAAACTGGAACGTTTGGCGCCTCCAGTTCCGTCCGAGGTAGCTGTGGAGAGGACACGCAGGCGACGGGAAGAAGCGAGCAATTACACAAGTGAGTCGTCACATTTCTTGGGTGAGAATTTGAGTGTGGAGGACTACGTTCGCTTGATTTTGACGCACTTCCACGAGCACCCGAACTCTGCTTCCGCGCTGCGTGTGAGCTCAATAGATGTGGCGTCTGTTGCGCAGGCTGCTGTGTCTGTAGATTTCCAGATTTTGGATGCCAAGTCCTCGTCTGGACTGCGCTGGGAGAAAGATGGCAATAACGAAGCCCTGCCGCAGACTGAGAAGACCCAGGCTGACATTTCCTCGGTCACACCTAAACTGGTGCGCTACCAGTTGGAAGAAAAGAGGAACCGCCACGTCGCGTTTATGAAGTTTCTCCAACGCCGCTGTGCGTCGGTCTGGGAGTTTATTGAAAGCACTGATGAGCTCAAGCGTCATTTGACTGAGAACGAAGAGAAATTGCAAGCTGCAATTGCGCTGAGCAAGTTCCAGGCGTCGATTCTGTCGAGTTCTACAGAGGATGAAGCTTCGTCTGATGTGGAGAAGATTCAGCGTCGTCTAACCGGGAAATTCCTTCTCCATGCGATTGAAAGGACTGTGGAGAATCGAGGTTACCAGAAGGAACAGCTTCGTCTTGCAGGCTATAACGCCTTTGATGTCTTCTACTGCGAAGTGAGCAAGATTGCAGAGCTTTTCCAGCTCTTGGGTGACGAGGTGCAGACTCTAGCGACCTCTATTGGCGAGAGTGACCCGACGTATCTATACGCTCTGCTAGAGAGCGGCTGTGCTATGCTCAGTATGTTCTGCACCCCTGTGCACAGCTCTTCTGCCAGCTTTGAGCCGACTGGAAGTTGGGCTTTCACGCGTGAAGTACGCGAAGTTGTGGCGACTCAAATCTCACGCTTGTCTGTGCTGGCTGGATACTCGCAAGGATCAAACGACAAGCAGATTCGCTGGCAATACGACGAAGTATTTGAGATCACGGACCAGATCCGGAGGCTAGGAACCGTCCTGCTTGACTGCTATGCTCGGTTTATCCCTCTCGTTTCAAGCGAGGAAGCAGATGAACTGCGCAAGGAGGAGACATTCACGAAGCGCGTAACGCTGAACCCGCTTGTATACATCGCGACCCAGACTCTGTCTCAAGACAGTGATATCGCCGCTGACTTTGACCAGGATGGTGCTGTCACGCGGAAACGCGCGGAGCTGTTCAGCCAATGTGTGGAGCTCTGCGAGACGTATTCGTACTTTGAAGGAATGGTCTTTCTGGTGTTCGTTGAAGACTCGGAGAACTTGTCCAAGCTGGATTGTGTGCTTGGTAAATTGCCCAAGAGTCCGGCGTCGAAGCGGTTGGAGGCGTATTGCAAGAAGCACGAGGGCTTTGACAACTTCATTTTCCGCTGGTACAACGGCGAAGTGCAGAACCCGTGGACTCAGGGCACTCAAGAAGCTAGCGCGACAATGATGGCGTATTTGCTGGCTCACTCGCAGATTTTTGCGCCGTCACTGCACAAGTTCATGAAGAGCCGTGAGCATCTGAGGCAGTACCGCTGGCTGACAGCAGTCTCCATCGAGCGGTACGACCAGGTCGCGACTCTTGCACTCCGTGAAGCCAAGGGCGAGCAGCGGTCGTTGCCGAAGCGCAAGACGATGACTAGTATTGCCAAGATCGCTGCCTTCGCCTCCCCCAGTCTATCTCACCCTGAGAGGGTTCAGGAGATCAACCATGAGGTACGTTTGCTGTTATTCATTCTGTGAAAAGGAGACATTCTTACGCTTTTTTGTGTTCAGCTTGTCCGCGGGAAGCTTCAAGAGTTGCTGCTGCAGTTGCCGTTGAAGGAGTCTATCAGCTCACAGCCGTTATCACCTGAAGAACTGGCCCACGTGTGCTTATCGTCTGCGCTTTCCGCCGACAAAGATGACCCCATGAGGTGAGTTTGAATCCTGGATTTTGCCTATTGCTTGACGTGTTTTACTCACTTTGTTTTCTCATGCAACAGAACCAACACTTTCTTGATGGCTCTGGAAGCGTTAGAGACGCTGGCAACAGACCCGCTGACCGAAGAGTACGAAGAGATGCGTGCTGGTGTGTGGCGATCTTGTATTGTCGATGATGGTGAATTGTGGGATAACCTGGCAGCCGAGTCGGCCGCCGGTGTGAACGAAGAGAAGCTGGAGTCGATGATGCGTCAAACGCTACTCTACAAGGCTATGAAGGAGTACTCTTCCCGACCGGAGCACCGTGTGCATGGCGCTCAGACTACGGCAGCACTGACGATCGAGGTCATTCGAGAACTGGTACACCGTGAGGGCGACGTTGACTCGATCGTGAGCGTCCAGAGTCAGCAGCTATTGATCAAGACGCTGCATCTGGCTCTATCGCAAGAGTAAGACACCTCGGTTGAATAATACAGACATCTTGCAACGATAGGACGGGTCTAAACACAGCCAGCGGAGATCATCAAATTCATATGGTTGCAGCGACAATGCTGCCTCCGAATGAAGTCAGCGATAAAAAACAAGAAGCTCCTAATTACAGCGTCGAGCAGGGTGACTGAGGCGCCCTATCCTAATCATCATCCTCCGAGGATACCGTCGGCATCGGCGACAGTGCGATTGTCAGCTGAATAAATCAGATAAACTCAATTAGTCGCATAATTCATCACTCTAGCAGTGTACTCAAATACTTACAACAGCCATGGACATGAGGATGACACGCGACTCCAGTTCCGAGTTCTCAGCTGAGATCACCCAGCTGATCAACACACAACAAGTCCAGTTAAACCTTAGCAACAAATATCCATCACACAGTATCCAAACAATTGCTCACCTGTCCGACAGGAAGAGGGTTAATACGCCCACCGTCAGCAGCGCAAGCGTAGACTTCGAGTGTTCGTGCTCACGGTTGCGTAGGATGGACACGACCGCAATGAGCAGCGCTACATTAGCAAGCGCGACCGAGATAGCTACCATCATCTCGAACTCACGAGGCGTGTCACTGATCAGCAGCAGCAGCTCCGCAGCAGCACGCCACGCCAGACCAGTGGCCACCCACTTGGCCGAAGCACGAGCATCCTTCTGGTGGAAGAAGAGCAACAGCGCAACTACTGGGGTCAGGAAAGACAGCCATCTCCGCCACAACTCCGTCTCATCCGCATCACGCGGCAGCATCTGGCTCACCACCAAGGAGCCCACCACTGCCGCTACACTCAAGAACGACGCAAGGTAGCCGCTCTCCACCGCCTTAGCAATCAAACCGTTCTGTGCGGGGCTAGCGTGTTCGTGGTCATGACTGATCGTAGCGCTGGACTCGGAAGTCGCGGTCTTCTCGTTGCTTTGCGGCTTCAACAGTACGGATTCCTCTTCCTCCTCGTACGACAGCGTCACCGGCTTCTTGTGCTCAGTCGAAGCAGCTGGAGGTGTCATCTCTCGCACGTGGGGGGTCAGCGCTGCAATGGTGGAACGCAGCACCGATTCGTCCTCCTCGTCCAGACGAGACACGAATTGCGTCGAAGACGACGTCTCCATTGTCTGATTGCGAGTGGATCGGCGTCTGGGTGTCTCTTTGACGTTTTCCTCGTTGTTGTTCTCTTTGTAACGAGGGCTCCTGCGTGACTGTGCAGTCGGAGAAGTCTTCCTGGGGCTTTCCTTGTGTTTCTTCTCCTTCTTCTCTTCCTCGTTGTTGTCCTCTGACTGCTTACGGCTCACCGAGGCGCTGCGACTGCGACTACGGGTCACTGAAGCGCTACGAGAGCGACTACGACGACTCCTGGGACGGCCAGGGCTTTTGCTTCTGCGCGGGCTGCGACCGCGTGACGTCGAGCTTCCTGACTCTTTCTTGCGTTCTGCAAAGGAATAAATTAAAATTGTAAGTTTGATAGGTATAAAGAACGAGTAATGAGCCACTATAACACAACAGCGCCCACGTACGGCTTTCAAAGCTCTTGATGATGTCCGAGTAGCCATCGGCCATCAAGTCGATACGGCTCTCCCTGAGAAAATTAATTAAAAATGCGTTAGGAACTCTAAATGGTGCACGAGACTTGGTGCAGTCCGTACCAGGTGTTGTTCTCCTGTCCAAAGCCCTTCCATACCACGTAGTAGTGTACGCGCTGCTTGATGAGCTTGCGGTCCACAATGCGCTCAATATCGTCCGGCATCTCGTCGGGAGCGGGGGTGAAGTTTCGGGGTCGTCTCGGTTGAGCTTCTCTCTTTGATAATGGAGACCAAGAGTTTTTTGCCGCCCAAGTCCCCTCCTTCAAACCACTTCTATGAACGCTGATTGGCTGATTTTTATGACTTAAAATTTGTAGGGAAACAGAAAGTTTTTTTGTTTTCTATGCGAAAAGTGATACTTAAATAACTGCAAAAGCTTGGTCTTAAATGTGGAGAAAGATGACAGCTCCTGTACAAGTATGTTGCACATTGCTCCATGTGCTATGTTTAGTTGTCCATGAAGAACAAACTTAAGATACGCCAAGCGATCCGACAGATTGGTGGGTGGTGTAGAAAGGATTTTCCTGATTGATTGGCAATGAAAGCCTTGATTGTTAAGTTGACAAGCAAAATTCAAGGCGCCATCCTTGGTTCGAATACACTATCGATAGTTCGTTTCTTCGTTTGAGACAAAGATGGTGGCGAATGATTTTGATGTAGAATTAGATTTCTATCTCATTTTGAGACGAAGATGGATGCTGGAGTTTATGAGAAGCTTATTTAAGAAAAAAGGAGCACTTCCATACAAAAAAAAGCGTCTAAACACTACTTCGACCAAGTGAGGACTCATTCCTGAATTGGCAAAAGGATACGTCGACAGAAGTTCTCCACGTCTACGCATGAAAGGACCTAGAACTAATAACATTGTTTTTCCTCAAAATTGTATTCAGCGACAAAAAATAATAACAGCGTGTTTGGACACGGAGGCTACTTCACGAACACTGTAGTGTCAGTCGAGTCTCCTTAACTCACGTTGCCACGGCCGTATGTGCCTTCGGGACACTTGTACTCATCGGGAAGCAGCGAGCGCTGCAACGCGTTGAATGCGTATTGACGCTTGCCAGTGTTTTTGAGTGCGTTCTCCAGGCGAACGCCGTTGCTGCGCATGGTTGAGACTGTACGCACCGCGAATTCCTCGGGCAGACCGTGGTTCTTGCTCAGCAGTCGCACCTGCTCGAGCGTCACGGACATACCAGTGCGGTCCTTGGCACTCTTGCACGAAGTAACACGACCAGCACCAAGTAGACGGCACAAGTGCGAGCTCTCTTGAATGATCTTGGGGTGCTTAGATTTCACGACATGCCGCTTGCTGGCAGTCGCAATACGCTCCTCCAGCGATTCGAGCAGAGGCGCGATCGTGCTCATTGGCGTAGGCACTGCGTCTGGCTGCAATTGACACACAACAACACAAAAGGGGTCAGTAAACTAAACAATGTGAGCAATCATCCATCCCGCAACGTACCCTCTGAGCAGCAAGCTGCTTGTATTTCTCGACGTAGCGTGTCAGCACGAAGAAGCTTTTGCGATTGATGATATCTTGTAGAGTCGTCTTCTTGGCACTAGCATTATTGGCTAGCGTCTGCATCTCGTTGATGCCCTGTGTGAAGATCACGGGGGTGACGGTAATACTGCCACCCGATCGAATGGTGGACGGGATCGATGCTCGCACGTCCTCCGAGCAGCGCACGCCAATCGCCACAGTGAAAGTTCCCTTGGTAGATCCCTTGCTCAAGCGCACCGACACAACACCAGGTAGTGTGGTGTTCTTCATGTGCAGATTGAGTAGCGTAGAAGGGAGGTGGGCAGGCGGCGACGTGTCCAGCACAAACGTCACGTGTTTGAGTGCATCGACCGCAGCGGAAAAGTCTTCAAGCATCCCGATCTCCTTGCCCTGTGTGGACAGCAATGACTCGACCTGGAACAGGAAACCGATGGAGTCGATAGTCCTCAGGAATGTGCGGTCGCTCGGGTGCTGCAACGAGTATTCCAACTGGCGACAGAAGGACGTAACCAAAGTCGTCAACGCCTGTGAAAAGCACATATCGAATCGTGTCGTGAGATGCCATCGCGTCTCGTCCGTAGAGCGAATGTCCGCATTGGTCCAGTCCACAACGTCGACGCTCTTGTCTGACACGTCGCTCTGTACGCGCGACAGCGATCGCTTCTGCAACGTCGCACGCAAGCTCAGGATGCTGCCATTGTGGCGGAACTTGAAGCAGTGAGCAGCAAACGCGCCGACCGTCACAGTAGGATACACCCGAACGTTAGGTGACGTCCGTCTTGATCGCTGCGAGCGCAGATCCGCCGTTGGGCCGACCCACATGTCCTGCACATGCAGGTTGATGGGCAGGAATCGCAACACGAGGCTCTTCTTCTCGGTACTAGCCTTGAAATTGAGTCCTTCTTCTGCACGATCAATACACAACTGGTGGCATTCACGTAGCGCCTCGACGTACATCTTGCGTTGCTGGACGCGTTCATTCAGCCACATTTGCACCACGGTCTGGTCATTCTCGCCCTGAATTTGTTCGATCAAGTTGTCGTACAAATTGCCGACAAGTCCACTCTTCACCCTTGCCTCAAAGCCCGCAGCTTCAGCCTGTGCACGCGCCAGATCATCCGCACGCTCAGTAACCAGCAACTCCAAATACTGACGCGGTAGTTCGTTCGTCAGCGGACTCTCGATCATGTCTTCGATCACCATTTCGTCGCCTTCAGCAAACTGGAAACTCTTCGTGATGTAGAAGCCAGAGTTCTCTTTGAGTTGACGTGGAGAGACAGTCATAGACTTGACGCGAAGGCGAGGTACCGACGGATCCACTTCCGGAATAGCAGCCCCATTAGCAGCATTAACATTCGGAGACTCCGTGCCAGTACCGTCACTCAGAACTGTCGGGATCGGCGATCGATTGCGGTAAGACACTTGCCGAGCCACTAAATTCACCTCGTCAGCGGACAGCATATCATCACATGCACACGAGAACTCGCAGAACACTTTAGGACGTGAAGGTGGAGCCATACCCATTCCCGACACACGAGCAATTCTAGCGCGTTCATCGAGTTGAATGGACGATGCACGCATCAATTGACGAGACTCACGCGTCTCTCCATCAGAAGACGGGGACGAAGCCTTTTCCGGAATTTCGTACACGACAAATCGGAGAAGTGGGTTCGCGGGCATCACCGGAATCTGAAGTACCGACAAGAAAGTAGCGATTTGAGTAACACCGCTGCTGCTTTCAGAGTTGCCAGTCACCAGCGTAGGTAGAACAGTCTCTGTGAAGCCCACACGCGACCACTTTGCTGCCGGGTTCGACACCGGCACAGGAGTAGGTAAGGCACCGGCGCCAAGCAGCGAGATGGACTGACTGCGACGACTGAGAATTCCTTCTTGGTGTAGTCCGCTTTCAATGAACGTACTGATGGAAGAGCGACGGTAACTCAGCACTGGAAGGTCTTCGTAATGATCTTCTCCAGTCACATCGTTTTCACCTTCAGGCGACGTATTCTCAGCGACGTAGAGCTCAACAAAGCAGGCATGTGTAAGAGGAATGGGCGACACGAGCTGAACTGCTAGTGCAAGCACATTCTGCGTGCCGTCGACGCTCTCCTGGCCAATGGGGTTGTATTCCGTGTCAGGAAAGCGTAAAATACCAGCCCAGCCATCGCTTAGCCCCGTGCCATTTCCAGACATGTCGAACTTGCCACTTTCAACCTTCTCGGAGATACTCGACATCGTACGATGAAGCAGCTGCGGGTCCTTGACGTGCAACGACGGGTTCCAATTCATTCCGTGAAGTCGTGGATTCCACTGCAGCAATAGAAACCCAATCGGCGGCACCAGAGTCGGAAGCCAGATAGAGAAAACATACCACACGACAGAATTGATGCTCCAGTTCTTCCAGTGGAGAATGGAGTTCATGATGCAGGATGTTCCGAGTACAAGAGCAATCGATAAGATCACCACCAGGTACGTGATCAGCGACTTTTTCATCACCTGCACCACGTGATCGTCGAAGATATCACCCGATTGATCGATCAGCCGCACACCACGTTGGATCACAAACGTTCCCAGCACAAGCAGCGCCACTGAAGTCAGAAAGATCAGCAATTCTGCGCTCTGGTGAAGCGGGAAGAACCAATCCGAGTAGCTAACATCCTTGCAGACGTTGTCCACCGCATATTTCCACTGCGTCGGCTGCAGATCGGGACAGTAGTCGTCTGAACACAGGCGCATGGAGTAGAACGGGTTCTTGAGGTAGTCATCGTACGTGCACTTGTAGAAGTCCGTGAGGCTGACCACTCCGAACAGCTGAACGGCGTAGAACGCCACGTTGATGATCACGTACACGACGAACACTAATAATCGTCCAGACGGCCCCACGTCGTGGAACAGCACGGTTCCCCAGTGGAAGCAAACCGACGTCATCATCGTCCACGTAAAGCAGACAGAAATCGCATACAGCAGGTAGTAGATATCCGTTCCTCGTGCCGACGATGCTTTCGTCGAAACACTAATCCAAATTGCATTGCCAACGATGCATAGAATGAAGATCATCATCACGGACAGCGACGTCATGTCGTTATAGAACGTAGGTCTCGAGAAAGAGATACCATTCTGTTATCAGCAGGATTATCAGTCAAGACTACAGCTTTTAGCAAAAAGATCAAAAAGCTTACCATTCGAGTAACGAGGACAGCACCGGCCAGCGCAACAGCGAAGAATGTGATCGACATGACACTATAAACACTCAGAGTGGACTTCGAGTCTGTAGGAAAGAATTGCATGATTGTAAGTACACAGAAGCACGGATACAGAAGCCACATCGGATCAGTACTTACACGTTTTCTGGTGAACCAACGTCTGTGCGCAGTCGCTTCCCATCACGTCGCTGTCGTCCATCAGCACCACCTCGCTGAGTGGAGGTAATCGGAATCCAGTGTTGGTATCCTCCTGATCCTCATTGCTAGTCCACGCCACATTTGTTACTTGAATCTGGAAGGTGAAGGTCGTCCGGATCTCCCACGAGTCGTTTGTCTTGACACCTGAGGGAAGGAGGTTCGTCACACAAAAGTAGGTGGCATTGTCGCTCTGAATGTTCAGGTTGGTTTCGCCAGGGTCGGCGTAGAGGTTGAGGAAAGGATTCCCACCTTGGACGTATGAAGCCTGCGTGGAAGATCCGAAGCTCACAGTAGATGTAGGCTCCCGTCCTTTACTCGCGCAATACGATGAGCGCATGTCGACGCATACTTTTGGATTGGCTGAGTTGGGACCGACAATGGTAGACGTTGAAAAAGACAACATCATGATCTCAGTGTCCTCCTCCATCCACACCAGCGACGAATCCAAGCGGCCTCTTCGTACTTGGGGTAACGCCATGGTGGCGAGAGTTAGAGCGCTGAAATCCGCCGCGGATGTAGAGGCGATGGAGCCAGAAGCAATCACTGTCAGCTCCCGCGTGCGTCTGGAAGTAGCAGCAGACTTAAGCGTTCCCGACGAGGATTCGTAAGACAGCGACACACTCACACCCACAGAACTGCTGGATGCCTTGACGCCAGTGACGATACTCTTGGACAACACGAAGGACATTGGACCACGAGAGCTCGACGTCATTAAATCCTCTCGACCCTCGATAAGGCTCATGACATCGACGAAGCCATAACGATGAGTGTCGCTGTCGCAGTTACTGCTGTTCGTCACGTCTGCGCAGCTGTGTACGCGTACAGCCAATGAGTAGTATCTATCATCGTCCCGTAGTGTCACTTCAACTGCAGTGTTCTCCCATGCCACAAATCTCCATCCACTAGGCAGCGAAATAGTGATCCACCAGTTGCTTTTGCGGGTGATTGGGTCTTCTTCCCCCAAATTGTAGAACGCTCCGATGATATCGCCAGCCAAAAGAGTGAACGTCGCCTCTGCAACACTGTTAGGAGTGACAGTCGACGTCGAAATCTTGTACGAATCTGTAGACACACACGTCTTGTATCCTGCCGGACACGAGCCATCGGACAACTTGCTTTCGCATGTAGAGCCACTGGACTCGCCCGGGTATTCGTTCTGGCATTCCGTAGCCTTACACCGGCAGTAGGTTGAAGTGTACGGCTCATAATACTCACTCCCGCTCCACTAGGAAAACGAAACAAAGCACAAGGATTATAATAATCACAGTTAGTACCAGAGCGATAACCATACTGAACATAGTGATGCGACGAACCCAGCCATCGCTTCCAGATTCAGACACACTTGAGGAACTGTTGCTTGCTGTGAGTGAAAAGACCTGGACAACCTCGCTTGACCCGCTGTATGACCCAGATACAGTATCGTTCACAGACGATGCTTCCGTTGGCACCGCCGATTCTCCCGATGCGGCAGTAAAGTTGCTTGATTTCTCTGGGGACGGAGTTTCTTCCGTCGTAGTCGAGATATTTGAGCTTGGTGCTGATGTCGATTCAAGAACAATAGTGCGTTCCCCCGAGTACGAAAACGCACTCTGTTTAATTGGTACGCTGTGGTCAGTGGAACCAACAACCACCTGGGCATTACCAGATCCTCCAGACACATCCACGCTTGACGGTGTGGAGGTAACCTGCACGTTGGGGCCGACAGTCGGAAGATTGGTATACTCGGTGTTGGGGCTGACAGTCGCGTCAGCGTGCGCAGAGCTAGCTCCGAAGTGAACGCCCCGAGATCCGACCGAGACATCAATATCGGAAGAGCTGGTCGTAACGTGGAGACCTTGTGAACCTACAGAGGCGTCAATATCCCTGGAGCTCGCGTCGATGTGGATTTCACGAGAGCCAACCGTAACGTCAATACCATTCGACCCCACGGTGGTGCCAATGCCGCCTGATTCATATGGCACGTCCAAGTCATGGGATCCAACAGAAACATCCAATACATGTGACCCTGTCGAGATGTCGACGCCATGTGACCCCACGGTAGCATCAATGCCGTCTGATCCAACTGACACGTCCAGTCCTTGGGAACCAACCGAGACTCCCAAGCCATTTGAACCCGTCGAGATGTCGAGATCGTTCGATCCAACGGTAGCGCCAAAGCCTCCTGACCCAACTGACACGTCCAAGTCCTGGGATCCAACCGAAACATCCAATCCATGTGACCCTGTCGAGATGTCGACGCCATGTGACCCCACGGTCGCGTCAATGCCGTCTGATCCAACTGACACGTCCAATCCTAGGGATCCTACCGAGACTCCTAAGCCATTTGATCCAGCCGAGACATCGAGATCATTCGACCCCACGGTCGCACCGACGCAGTCCGACCCCACAGAAACGCCAAATCCATACGATCCCGAGCCCACTGTAGCCTCGACACCTCCTGCTCCTACCGCGATACCTGCTGAGCCCGCGGATACGTCAATACCTCCTGAACCAACTGCGATGTCTACCGAGCCTACAGAGATCTCCAGTCCGCCTAAATCAAGCGTTACGCCCAGAACAGCGTCCTCATTCTCCGCTCCTGAACCTGAAGCTGCATCACTGACACTTGCAGACTGACTACAGTCCTCTGACTGCGGGAACTCAATCGTCTCTGCGTCTCCTGCACTACCCGAGCACTCAGACGCGCTGCTAGCGCTCTGTACCTCCAACAAAGGCTCTGTTTCCTGCGGGTCATGGACGACAGGGCTTCGGCCGTCATCACCCACATCTCCTCTGGCTATTGTGGTCATCTGCTCGAACTCGAGCTCAATCACGTGCTTCTCCAAGGCCGCGATCGCTGGTACCGAGTCGAACACCTTTGCTTCTGCTCGAATACAAGGCCAAATCGGGCGTCAGAAGCGGTAATAAAGAGCTGATATACGTTATAATTACCTTCGACCATCGCCTGGGCCTGCAGAGTCGACGCGAAGGCAAGCAGCAGCACTGTTGCTGCGTACAGGCGCCTCCCGCCATCTCGCAAAAGTCGACGCTGAGACGCATAGAAAGGTGGAGAAAGGAGTGACGTGAGCACAAAAGACGTAACTAGCGATGGAAACCCGGAGGTGTCCGGAAAGAGAGGCCTATGAGGGCGACTGATACGTACCCGCATGAGAGCCGCCGACGAGTACAGTGGCGCTCTGTGGTCTCGGTTGATATTAAAGTGATGAAGCGTAAGGGTTGGGCGAAGCGATGTGACGAGGTCCACAAGAAGCAGTTAAATTGGGACGGGCAGCATAGAAAAATCGTGATGAACGGGATTCATATATTATTAACTGTGTAGTATATTTGAAAGATTGTTCTTTTTGCAGTCACAGACCGTAAAGAGAGGTGCTTTGGCATCTGGCTTTGTGGTCTGACCTCTCTTTTCTTAGTCGAAGTATGCGCGCATAAAAAGATTGAAATTCACTAAAATGAATTTCAAACTAACTTGCGGAACACTTTTTTTAAAAGTGCTCGACCAGTTTGTTTATATATCTATACTTTGCAGACCATTATCTCGTTAATGATCGCGCCAGGAAACCACTTTTTATCGCCACTGTATCTAGAATAGTTGTTATCCACAGGTGTTAATACATGTTATGGTACATCTCAAGCTGGTGACTCACCGAGCGGTTCAGTAGCGTAAGGCGCTTCAGGAGGCTCGCAGTGCCTCACGCCGCATGGTTACAGTCTCAAGAGAGTCCATTCTTCGAGTCTCCTTCTCTACCACAAGATGCAATATATACCCACGCGCTTACTTGCCAGGTACCGACTTTCAAACGCTCAAAACGACAGATTTGCCGATACAAAGCAGAATACCCGTGCTGGAGTCAGCAGCAGCTCTTTGGGCACGGAAGGTCTTCGAGCTGCAGCACCTGCTACCACAGGTTGCAATCGGTGCCATCTTCAAAAGTAAACTTGAAACCATTCCTATGAAGGACTTAGCAGTAAAAAAAAAAAATACTCGTGCACACGTCCGATTTCCAGAGCTTGATTCAGCACTGGTTACGTGGGTAGCGTGGAAAAGGGCGCAATCGTCACAGCAGAAGTAATACAAATTAAAGCAGACTATTTCACTACGGTGTTGAAGATTGATAGATCGCTCGTGTGATAGTACGGCTAATACTTACATGGTGTGTTAGGAGCAACCCACGGCGGCGTGCAAATTCCGATAACGCACAAGCAAGCACGTGCAAGCAAGTATTGGGAAGTATTGCGCTGATGGAAATATGTTCCTTGAAAGCCCACTGGGCCTGGAAACTAGTATTCCTTAAGCTGTCCATGAAAATAAAGATGATTGTGTGTAGATGGGCCTTCGCTATAAAGCGAGACGAGCGCGGGTGGATCAAACAATATGAGACGCACCTCGATGTCAACGGATTAAAGTAGTAGCTTGGAGTCAACTGCACTTTACACCTATGCATCTATAATTCGTTCGTGCGGCTATGTACTACGCCGTACAGCGAGGTTAGGAAGCGCTATAGTCGGGTGTTGAGATGGCTTTTCTGTATGGGAACTTGGGTAAGATCATTTTCATGGGCCGGCTCGTGGCTTCCAGGTGGAAGGGTCATGATTCACCTGTAGATTGTGGAAGAGCTTGCACGTTTATATAAAGCACCGCATGATTGGAGTCGCACGTTCCATGAAGGCTTGTCGTGATGGCGTGGTGTTGTAATTCCCACGGCAACTCTAGCTACTAGTGTAGGTAGGATAAACCCACAACAATCTACCAGAACGGCAAACGATCGTTCGGGCGTGATCTGAAGACCCAGTCTCAGCCCTTACACCGGGACAGACTGGACCTGCAAATCGCTTATATAGGCCAACCAGTAAAAATAAGAGCACGCTACTAGCACGAGCAAAGCTAGTAGGTGTTATGAATCCTCGTGGTCCCAACAGCGGAAGGGTACCAGGCACGGGTAAGCCTTTTACGAGGGCGCCGAGTGTTCAACACTCGACTGGAAGAATATATGGGAGGCAACTCGCTCTCCCCAACACGTGCAAATAGGCACAATAAAGCCGTCACGTAAACTTCCGATATATAATCGGCCAATACACACACCCACTTGGCCTTGCCGGATGAACCCTCGCTAGTAAGCTTCGAGTCCACCGACAGGCATAACACACCCAAACAAGCTTATCCAGACGCTTACCTTGAAGCCGAACCTCGCTCGTGTGCTTGAGTGGAAATTCTGTTCTGTTATTCGTTATGCCCTTTCGGGCTCTTCCTAATATGCAATCCTAATCATGTATACAAATATCAAGTGAACTATGATCCGTTATGGATCGCTACACGTGCCAACAGTTACCTCAACTGTCCTTGTGCCTTCTCAGGTCTCCGCCGAGCGTTCAACTGCTAGTCGCACCCACCGAAGAGTCGCTCCAACCGTCACCGAGTCGAAGTACCGTAATCCGTCAGTTTTTGACCGCTGAATGTTAATCCAGCTTCACCGATACGAACCACCCAACTTGAGTGACATCTTGGTCATAGTCGGACCTGACGAGCGTTTGGTAGTGACGTATCCTTGGCCATCTTGCACCGTGGTCACCACCTGTCGCAAGACCAAGCGTTCGTGGCTTGAGCAACTTGAATGTAGCCACTTCAGCGATTACTTAGAAATCGCTACACCACAATGGGCTGTACGAGAATGCGCTCCGACCTTGGCCTATATGTGCTGAGGGAAGAAGATGAAGTCAAGCTGTTCTTGAACGTGTACGTGGGTGACTTACTAGTAATTGTATCACGTAATCTGCCCGTCAAGATTGCTGTGTCGCTGCAAGGAGACGACCAAGCTTGCGACGATGGGCACAATCAAGTACATCTTAGGCGTCGAGATCCTGATTAACCGACTACATTGAATGCCAACATCATTTCCTATGCTTTCCGCAAGCAGGTAATAAACGCGCACAATGCTACCGTTGGTGCCACAGCGCATACCTCTGCGCGTGTCAGCGCCATCGGAACAAGATTGAGGTGGACTAAACTGGGCGGCGACATCGGTGGAGACAACTATTTGGAAGGCAGCATGGAGGCTCTTCTGCACAGTTCCGCGGAAGGTATTCCCAACGTGAACATGTATCTCCGACCACAACTCAAATAGCATGACTGAGCTGCGTAAGTACGTCCTTGTTCGCGTCAGTTTTCCCCGCCCAAGTCCACTATGGTTTTATTGGCTGATTGAAGTCGTATCTGCTTGACCCGGTATTTCTCCTGTATCAAATAACGCTTCTCTTGAATCTTTTGGCCTATCTCGATCAACTTGTTATGTGACAGGCGGTACCAGCCTCCGTTGATGTCACGAAACGGGAATGGGAAATATGGAAGTTTGTGACAGCAACGCACCAGCGGAAGACATCGTCATACACCTCTCTTTCCCAACAGTATTGCTGGATGTGATCCGCCAAATCTGGTTTAATATTCCTTAAACCTTTTTTAATTACCGAAGTAGCTCTCGCCAGTAGCGCTGTTATGCGTGATAAGGTCGTTAGTTGCCTGTTCAGCATGACCGAGTGGTCTTCCCCTTTTTTTGGCATATACAGCGAAGGTGACTAGCGAGTCCTTAATATCCCTTATCGGCAAGAATCGCCCACTCGATAGGAAAGTTGTCGTGATGCAAACCGTTGTCGTTCAGTGACTCATCACTCGGTAATCTAGTGATTTTACTGAGATGAAACGCCTTACTGTTCTTGAATATCATGATGTCGTGTGTAGATCCTTTGCGTGATCCGAACAGTCGATAGCATATGCCCGTGCATCAACTGGTACTTCTACTTCGTGACCATACAAGTGGTGTATTCCACTGTAGAATGGACCGTTTTCAGCGATATTTCCACAAGGACGCCAGCTCTGCTGAAAGATGACGTCCACAGCATACAGAACACACGGCTACAACGCTCATAAAACGTCGCCGCGGTCGTACGAACGAGCCTAGCGTTGATCTCTAATGACCCTCCTTCCTTGAGTGTGACAAAGAAAATGCGTCTTTAGGCTTAACGTCGGGTAGCTTCCCATATTATACCCCTCTGGTCTACCGCAACGTTGCCCATCAGGCCAGCTTCTTCAAGCAACTACAGCCTTAGCATTGACGATCCTTGAATACCTCCTTGACAATCTTTCTCGCCCTGTAATAAACCTATATGAGAATCACCTTTTTGGCTCTGCGCAGTAATGGATTGCATCACTTGCTGGCGTGCGGCAAATCATTGTCTTATTTTTCAAGGGAGAGACGATCAAACGATCGCTTCTCTGCAAAATTCAAGCCAATCATGTTTACATACTCTTGTTTAAGCTGTAGAGACGGACAAAGAATTAATGCCAAATTTAATTGTTAGCTCTGGTGAGCGAGGGGCAGGTTTGTCATTTCGATATTACAGCCGCCTTCCTCTCCATCGGCCGCAATATCTATGTCAAGTGGAAAGTATGCGGGTAGCATTATCCTACTAAGACCTGCATTCCTTATTTTTCTTCCTTCCCGTGATAGCAATATATATGCAGATAGAAAAAAAATAGTCACCAACCAAAATTTTTAGCATATCTTGTAACGGGGTTACACGCAAGTGGCTACATGTAGCCACTTGATTACGACAATGGGTTTCACAGTGGTGTGAGATACACCAATGGTTACA